GTAGTATACCTGTAATATACTTTATATTGTAATATGCAAAAAAGTTTCATTTTACTAGAGACATATGCTAGAGCATTGTCAGTCTTAATTTGTATAGGTATTCCCACAATGGCCATAACTTCTAATAAGTCCATGATTACAGAATCAGCCTTTTCAGAACTCAAAGCAGTTGACCATTGAAATCCTTAATATTTATCTATGGTGTAGTACATACACTTTAATTTTCCAAACTCCACAAAATGAAACACATTCATTTGCCAAATTTCATTTCTTTGAGTACCATTAGGATTAGTTCCTTTAGGTAGTGGAGTTTGGTTATACAAGGTACAAGCAGGACATTTCCTAATAATTTCCTTGGCTTGTTGTCAAATGATAGAAAAAAAATCTTTCTTCAAACCCTTGTTATTAACATGGTGTTTCTTATGAAATCATGAGCTTCTAGCACATTTCCTACCAACAGCTGATCAATTTCATTACCTTGTGATAGGGGGCCTGGTAGACCCACATGGGATCTGATATATGTTATATACAAGTGGTGATTTCTATTTCTAATTATCTTTTGTAATTGAGTAAACAACAAAGTTAATTCTGAATCATCTCTAATAAGTTCAGCAGTTTCATTATGTAAAACAACTCTTTCTACATATTGAGAGTCAATAACTATATTAAGAAGTTCTGGAAAATTTAATAGTACCATGAGAATAGCATATAATTTTTACTTTTGAATGGAATCATAAGGGCTTTAGGCCACTCTACTTAAGATTCCAGAGTCACAACCTGCCTTTCCTTATTTATTTGCATCAGTATAGTATGTAGGCGTTCCAGAAATTGGTGTTTCTCATACAATGTGAGGAAGAAGTCAATTGGTTCCTTTTATAAACTAAAATCTCTTGATTTGGGGATATTTGTTGCTAAACTCTCCCAGAAAATTACTGCAAGTTTTTTGCCTATGTCAGTTTTCTATCAATAATAAGGACATTTCTGCATTAGTAAAAGGCACTACAGTTTCTGCTGGGTGTATTGCTGTTAGTTTATGAAGTCTCAATTTTCCTTTCAGAATCAATTCAGAAACCTTTTATACATAGGTCTTTAATTTTTTTATCTTGTTTACATGTGGCAAAAATACCCATTCTAAAATATTATCTTCCCTGCCCAAGAATTCCTGTAGGGGAATACATAGAGGGTAGTATGATGAAGATACAATCAAGCCCTGGATTCAAGTGATCCACACATGCATCCTGTAGGTTTTTTTTCTATCAAAGCTTATTTTCTCTCAGTCTCAGCTGATAATTTTCTTGGACTATTTAAGTCCTTATCACTTTGTAAGATTTGAAATAATTTATTTAGTTCTTGAGTTGTCCAATTGTGAGCTGTTAATATCTCCCAACAATTTTTAAAAATCATTAAGAGTTCACAATTGATCTCTCCTACTTTGTACTTTTTGTGGCTGAGTTTTATTGTAAATCTATTTCATATTACAGGTAATTAGTATAATACTCTCTTGGCATTTCTTCAGGAGCAGTTTGTAATCTCCAACTTAGCAAAAATTTCTTTGCTTCTTCAAACACTTTTTTGTAAGTCATTTGCATCTGAATCAGCTAGTAAGATATCATCCATATAAAAGTAAATTATAGATTGAGGAAACTACCAATTATTCCCAATGGCTGTTGTGCAAAATATTGACACAGGTGGGGATGTTTAACATCCCTATGGAAGAACTTTCCACTGATCCCTTTTAACAAGCTGAGAATTATTATAAGTTGGCACTGTGAAGGCAAAATTTTCTCTATCCTCTTCTTGTAAAAGTATAATGAAAAAGCAGTCTTTTAAATTAATCACTGTAATGTACCATTATTTAGGTAATAGAAAAGGCAAGGGAATTCTGGGCTGAAAAGAGCCCATTAACTGAGTCACCTTATTTATGGCTCTTATATCTGTTAACATTCTCCATTTTACAGATTTATTTTTAATGACAAATATAGAATTCCAAGGACTGGTAGATGCTTCAATATGTTGAGAATTTAGCTACTCCAGTTTCAGCTGTTCTAATGGCTGTAATTTTTCTGATGCCAAAGGCCATTGTTCCACCTAGGCAGGTTTGTCAGTTAACCATTTTAAAAGTAGGAATGTTGGTACCTTTGAAAGATCATCAACTGTTGTGCCTGTTTACATACAACTTGAACAGACTGTGACCATTCTTGATAATACCTTTTAAAATTTCTCTCAGAAGCATTCTTTATTTTATGGTTCATTTCTGAGATTGGAGGAATTTTTATCTGTGTTTTCCATTGTTGTAACAAATCATGTCCCCATGCATTTATTGCTATGGTCTTAATTTTCCTGTCTTTCCTTCTGTCCCTGTATACTCTACCCATCATGCACCTTGTTTTACCTAAGACAATGTTCTAATCCCTGGGTGCTGAACATTTACTTTCTGAAGAGACCAAATTGGATGCCAAGTCTTCAGTGAAATTTTGTTAAATCTTTTCCTGTCTTTACTACACCCTCAGTTTCAATGTCATGTATTGGTATTTTAAGTTTACATCTGATCATTTATAGAAATTTGCCAAAATACTTGTTTTATTGTTCTTCCTGAAAAATTTTTTTTTGCCTATTGAAGCTGTTCTGTCATCCATAGCAGTATGGGTTTTTTTTGTTTGTTTTTGTTTGTTTGTTTGTTTGTTTTAACAACAGGCATTAGGTCCTTTAATTGCTCAGTGGAGGAATTTCCTCTATGGTGACAGGGAATGATTAAACCACATTTGACGTGGGGATCTGCAAGAGGGCCCCCCTAGGCTTTTCCCAATGGCAAAGGATTATGTTGACTGTCCTTTGTTGATCTGAATTCAGTAGTCCAACATCTGAGTTTGCTGTATCTTCTGCATACTCTGGAAGGCTGGAGTCTTCAGGTTGGATTATTTATAGAAAAAATATTTTTTCTAGGAAAGCCCTGTCTACAATCCCTTTTTAGATGACCACAATCAAAACAGCCAACATTTATGGGGTTTTTTGTTTTTGTTGTTGTTTTTCTAAATTTTTGGAAATCACCTCTCCTATTCAAGTATGATTATGAGTATGAGATTCAATATCGACTGTATGTCAGGTCCATTTATCTATGGGCACTGATCTTACCTTTAAATACCTGATTATCCTTTTGTATTGTGAATTAGCATTTTCAAAAGCCAAAGATTCAAATAATATTTGTCTAACTTCTGGATATGATTTACAGATGAAGCCAATCTTTGTAAAAAGAAATCAGTGAAGGCTTCTTTTGGCCTTTACATAATTTTAATCAATTACTCAGTCCTCTTTTCTGATTCTTCAACCCTGTCTCAAGCATTCAGAGCTGGTGAGTGGCATAGAGCCATGGTGTGATCATCAAATATAGAATATCTTTGTAAATCAGCATACTGGCCTTCACCAAGAGGTTGATTTTGGGAAATTTCAATACCTCTAGGCCTACTTCACTGTTCTAGTTTCCTCTCTCTACCATGTTTTCCATTGTAACTGAGCACCAGCTTTCAATATCACTGTAACTAAATCTTTCCAGTCTTATATAATAATTCTATTCCTAGTTGACCATGAATTTAATATCTATCTCACAAAAGGTGAATACACACCATATGAAGCTATTGCTTTCTTAAATCTCCTAAAATCTAACATTCCCACAAGATTGCAGTAAGCTTCTGCATAGCTTTGGGAATGCCTGTCATCGGGTGGTCATTGTTGTATGGTAACTGAATAATTCAAGGTTGGTTTTCTAATCACCTTAGGCTGCTCCTGTGCAGTTTCATAATGCAGTGGTACAGTAGATTCTGTTCTAAATTCCTCTGTCTGTGTCTGAGTATTTTTCTTATTTTTGTTAGTAGATCTTTCTAAGGTTTGTATCTCATCAGTCAAATTTATTATTTTCATTAGTAAGTCTTTCTAAAGGCTTGTATCTTACCAGTCAAATTTTGATTATATTCACTAGTAAGTCTTTCTAAATTTGTATCTTGTCAATAGTAACTTTTTCTAATGCATGTATCTTATCAATAGTAAGTTTTCCTAAGGCTTGTGTCTTATTAATAGTAAGTCTTTCTAAGGCTTGTATCTTATCAGTAAATTATCATATTTGGCACAGTTATCAAACTGTTTTTAAGGATAAAGTATGAATTAATCAACTGATAATAATTATGTTCGACATTATGTCAATATCAGCTAAGTTGTTCATTCTCCTGCTCTTACTACCAGGACCAGCTCTTCTGTTCTCATGCCCCAAAGGCCAGCTATCCTACCTTCCACAATTGGCTGAGGGGAGATGTTGCTAGAGTTTTCCTGCCTGGCCCACAGTCAGGACAAATCTCTCTCACCAGCCAGTCCCAAGCCGCTCAAACCCGATCAAGTAAACACAGAGACTTATATTGGTTACAAACTGTATGGCCGTGGCAGGCTTCTTGCTAACTGTTCTTACAGCTTAAATTAATCCATTTCTATTAGTCTATACCTTGCCACATGGCTCATGGCTTACCGGTACTTTACATCTTCCTTGTCCTGATGGCGGCTGGCAGTGTCTCTTCCACCCAGCTTCCTGTTCTCTCAATTCTCCTCTCTGTTAGTCCCACCTATACTTCCTGCCTGGCCACTGCCAATCAGTGATTTATTCATTGACCAATCAGCAACACATTTGACATACAGACCATCCCACAGCAGGGAGAGGCCATATTTCCTTCACTTATGCCATGATTTGGCATACAAGGGAGGGAGCAGTTGCCACTCTCCCTTTTCAGTCCACAGGACTAGCTCACCTCAGTCTCCACCAAAAAGGTCAGTTCTAGTGTGTTCCCCAGGTGACCTGCAGGGCCTTCTCTCCTGTGTGCTGCAGCTGGTGAGAGCAGGGCCAGCTGTCCCACCTGCCTTAGGTGGTAGAGAGCAAGGGGGTGCGTCTTTCCCTCACCATGCCACCACATGGCAGATGAGGGAGGGTGAGGTCAATTCTCCTGTTTCACACCCATCAACAGGATCAACTCTACTCTGCTGCCCCCATGAGGTGCAGAACCTGCTCTTCTAAATGCTGCAGCCAGTGAAACTCTCGTGACCCTGAGACCAACTCTTCCCTACTGCCAAAGGTGGCAAGGGCCAAGGGTAGGTTGTTTCCTAAATTCTATGACTTCACTAGCCCTGGGTAGTTGACTAGGCTTCCAGCATCAGGCATGGTTTCTTTCCTGTTGAGAAATTTTAAGTCCAATTAGAGAGCTGCTGGTTACTGCCAAGGTATGCTTACCACCATTGCATCCATTATTGTGCCATGCTGGTCATTGTTGTGGTTCATAGGAATCATAGCTGCATAGAACTGTTGGTTGTTTCTCTCCTTTGGAAGCTTGCATTGCACCTTCTGGTACTATAAAAACTACTCCTCAAGGAGGAGATATTTCTCAGTTCCAGCTCAGGGGCCTATATGCCCTATGTTTAAAGTAAATGGTGTCTCTATCAACCAAGAGCAGTAGCAATAGCATATAATATTTTGAGGGTCTCTTGAACAAGCCAAAAACAACAATGCAAAATAGAGCTTCTCATGCCTAGTGTTAGAATAGTTATTAAATGGTCTTTGGCCCTTGGAGAAGCATTGTCAACCCAAAGATCATTGGAATTTTTATGGGACCTACACTTTTTTAAGGACCTTGGGACAGCATGTAGGGGAGCTGTTCAGAGTGATAGTGATTCTATTGGCTTTTGTTTAGTTTTAAAGGTAATTTAGCTAAAATCACAAAAACCATTTTCTCACAAATGCTGATAAAATACCCAATTTCCACTTCCACATTTGTGGGAATCAGATAATAGGGAAGCTTTCACAAATTCTAAACAATTCTCATTATTTTGTAGCTAAATCATTACAAATACAGCTACTGTGAGCATATAATAGTTGGAAAGATATCCTCATAACAGATACAGCATTAATCATAAAGTAATTCATATATTAAGTGTTTATTTGTTTATTTTCAGCACTGAGGACTGTACCCAGGAGCCACAAAAGATCTACTACTGAGCTTTCTCTCCAATCCAATATACTTGTAACAGCTAATCTCTTGACTGTCCCATTTATCATTGAGTGTTTTAAATATTTAGAAATGTGTTTTCTGAGTTGGTATTTTCTTTGATCTATCCATTGTTTTATATATTTGAAAGTGTCTTACTTCTGATATATATGCTTAGCTGTAAATAACTAGTAATTTTCTTCTGTTTATTTAGTTGTTTGCTTCTTAATGTGTGACAACAGAAACAAAATTATATAGAGCACAGGCACACTCTCTCAAAATATCACATGACATTTACACAAACATCTGTCAAATGTAAGGTTAAGATTCTCACTTCTTGAAGAAAATATATATCAATTAGCAGCAGTATTCTGCTGTCAATAGCATGATTTTTGGCAGGAGGAACTGATGTGCCTTTGTGTACTGGGCAGGGCATTTCCTGTGGTACTTCTGCTGAAAATTCCCCTGATGATTTTAAGGATAATTTTTACCCATTATTTTGATAGATACTTGATACATATACAGCTAAAATTCACATTTGTCTGACTACATAATAGACATATGGCTAAAATTTAACACTTAAACTAGCTAATAGTAATCACTTAAACTAGTTAACTTATTCCAAAACACTAATGAATACTGGTTTCCTTCTGGAGTTTGTAGAGAGAATTTGTTAAAAGGCTTATTTAATAAAAATCTTTAAGTTATAATACTGTTTGGATGTTATTATAAATCACACAATTGTTTTAGCACAATTTCTGAATTTTAGGGTGCAGAATACATTTAATAATTTATATTAGTCTCATAATTTGAATGTTTTGGTATAAGTTATTAACAATTTTTAACATATTTTCAAAATGGATTTCATTCAAAGCTTCTTCTTTATTTTTGACAGTGTCTTAACATATAGCCTTTGCTGGAACTCCAAGTATAGAGTAGATTACACTAGAACTCAAAAGATATTTTCCTGCCTTTCACTCTTGAAGGCAAGATTATAGGTGCATGCACCACATCTGGTTCTAGTCATTGCCTTTTATAACAAGAAATTTCCAACAAGGCATATTATATTATGTTAATATTTCTATATATTGATCATGTCATTTTATACTAGAACACAGTTCTCTTGAATGGGTTAATACACAGGATATAAAATCTCACAAAAGAAATATTGTCGCCTATGCAACTGGCTCCTTTACTATATATGATATATATATATATATATATATATATATATATATATATACATACATATATATTAATAATAGTGCTTTACTTTTTAAAGATTGAGATTTGAAAAATTTAAAAAACTTTTACACATTTGAGGAATGTAAAAATGAGTATAACTTGGAAGAAACTAACTAGCTATGTCAAAATGAATATTTATTACTAAATAGGTATATCCTAAAAGTTAGGGAAATCATGCTCTTCAAAATAGCATTTATAACAATAAAGAAAAACCATGAACATATTTAAGAATTAAAGAGATAGCAGTAGATAAAAATACCTAAGAATTTTAAGAATTCTTAACTTATAAAATGTTACAAAGGACAATTATGGTTTAGTATGCGGAGCCTATCATCCACAATCTCATATGTTTGAAAACTTTGCACCCAGTTGGTGGCACTATTTGGAGCTTATGGAAGAAACAGGAGGTCAGACTTCACTGAAAGTAGATACCTGAGAGGCCAGTCTTGATGATATAGTTGACTCTAGCAGTTCCAACTCATTCCAGCTGGAATGTAGCAAATGGCACACCTCCCTATTGCCATATCCTGGACTAGCTTCAACCACCATGTCATCCTTGTCCTGATGGATTGCAACAATTCAAATGGTGAACCCCAATAAACCTCTCTTCCTACAAGATTTTTTTTGTTGTTTTGGTTAGGTCATAGTGACAAAAAAAAACGATATCTAATACAAAGACATAGCTAGATCAAATAACAAAATTTATATTGCTTATATTAAAGAAAAAATCATATTGTGATTTGCCTTTTAACTTGTTTTATTGTTTCAATTATCTTCATGAAGTTAATTCCATTTGTTACTGGAAGAGTCAGTTCCACCAATTTTAGCACAGTGCTTTATGCACATAAGTCATACATACAAATGACTTGATGCTGTGTTTAAGATATTTAAAGATGTGCTGTAACAATTAATCAAGTTCTTTTCTTGTTTTAAAAGAAAAACTGAAGAAAACATTATTTCTATATACGTTAGCTTGGTCTTAGTATTAAAATAATTCTAAGGGACAATAAATTGTAATGAGCAAAGATATTTGTTGTTAAAAAGATTTAGCTGCACTTCACATGGTTTTAGTCAGTATAATAGCAATATTTACATATTCTATTGTATATACATTTTCTGATATACATATGCTGCATAAGTTTTTCATTTAAACTATGATTCAGTGAATGATCTATTAGGGAAATGTTGTCCATCCAATACCTCACACAGGAAGCAGCAGGCACTGAATTCATCTGTCAATCTTCTCCTCTAGCTCTCCTTAAATCTGTATTTTATTCTTGCTCTTAAGACCAGATTAGCATGTGAGGCTAGAACATTAACTGAGATAAGGCTGAAACCTGTGGGTTATGGATAAAAATATTTCCAGAGTATGCTGTACTCAAATAACAAAAGGTATTAAGCTGACTGTTCGTAACATTAACATTTAATTGCCCTATTGCTGCACTGTGTCTGGTTTAGATCCTGGTTGCTGAAACAGAGACCATCACATGACAGTATGGACTTCCAGGAATACTCCAACAAGGTTCTTTGTTATGTCCATTTAGGACTGCACCTATGACTGATAATCTAAGGTAAATAAGACATTATTGGTGGCTAAGTTTAACATTCCTGAAATTAAATATTAGATTCTGATAATGACATAAAATTAGTACAGTGGAGCTTCCATATGCAGTAAAATCTATCCATACTGGAATACGAGATTTAAAGAAAATGTGAGTTTATTTATTTATTTGTTTACTTATTTATTTATTTTGTTTGTTTGTTTTTCAAGACAGGGTTTCTCTGTGTATCCCTGGCTGTCCTGGAACTCTCTCTGTAGACCAGAGTGGCCTCAAACTCAGAGATCCACCTGCTTCTGCCTCTTGAGTACTGGGATTAAGGCATGCACTACCACTACCTGGCAAAATTGTAGGTTTTTTTTAAAATCATGTTTTGAAGTATATATTATTTTGCTTCTTTATTACTACCATTTGTTTTTTTCAAAACAGTGTTTCTCTGTGTAGCTCTGGCTGTCCGAGGACTCACTGTGTAAAAAAGTTAGCCTTGAGAACACAGGTCTCCTGAGTTCTCCTGAGAACTCTGCCTCCTGAGTGCTGGAATGTGCTAACACATCCAGCTAGTATTTCTAATTATAAGCCCAAGATATATCATAATGAACTGACTCAATGCTGCATTTTTATAACAGACTTTTTATTGATTTTGTAAGGGTAAAGTTATTCTTTAAATTCAATTATAAGAAATACAGTAGTTAAATAATATCCTTAATAATAGATTGAGTTTTATTGCACTTTATTTCATCTTTTGTTTATACTTCAGAAAAACAATTTTCCTAAGCTTAATGACAAAAAAGAAAATAACTAATAAAAATATGTCTTTAGTATGATTTTTCCAACTTCTAAGGACACCAGAGCCATTTCATGTAATTTTCAGGTGTCATTTTGGAGACACAATAGACTATGTCCCCAATTATTTTCCTTTTTTTCAGACAAGAGTTTCCAATCAGTAGAATGTATGATGAGGTGTAATCAAAGATTAGAACTTTTTAATTAAATGGGGCCTTTTGTGACTTGTCATTTGACATTAATTACTGTTTTAGTTGGATTCCTTTTGATTTGTAAAGGGCCCTGAGTACCACAAAAATTATATTGCATCATAGAAATTGTTGATAATTAAAACAAAAGCTTTACTGCATCAGCCCATCACACATCTTAAAAAGGAACATCATTTTAAATGTTAATGGCTGCCTTAGATAAACAGACTAGAGGGTTTTGAAGGAAAAATAACAGATGGCATGTTAAGCTGGTTACTTTGGATGGACAGTTTGAAGGTTGTTAATTGTGATGATTTATAAGGTGTTTTCAAATGTGCAGTCACACTTTTAGGGGCTGACTAATGGTGAAAGGTATATGTGCTGTTCTAAATGTTCCACACCTGGTGGGAATCATAAACCTAACTCACACTATAGCCGAAGCTAAAGATCATCCATCAAACTCAATGCTAAAGATAAACTGACCTAAGAGTTCAGACAATATTTTCATTTGTGGACTCATGGAGAATGAAATGTAAATTAAACTTCTTTGTAAGAGCTCTGGATTAAGGTAACATATCTGTAGTAAAAACTGCCACTCATATCTATGACTAGAAAAATTTATACAAGTGTTATTTACACTAAAAGGATGAAGTAAATGAAAAAAAGAATTCAGACTTATTTTGATACTAGTGAATTACTAACTCTTCTAAAAAATAATCTAAGAAATGTATGGCCATATACTAATACAATTTATTTTATTCTAATGTGCTGCCTTTATGTAAGATGAGAAGTTTGATACTGCAGTTACTAGATCTTCACAAACATGGATACTGAGATTTTCTTTAGTTGTGGCAAAGGAACCACACATATTCTAATCCTGGCTGCTTTATAAGAGAAGACATTTAATTTTAGTACAATTTACCTTAAGTTAGAGTTATGGTTTGTGAACAGAATAAAACTAATTGGCCTGAAAATGTATGTCACCATGCCCATGACTTCATTAGCAGTGTATACTATGCAGCTGAGCTAAACGCATGGACGTAGATGTAATAAAACAACTTTCAAAACACTTGATTGTATGAACAAAGAATATGAAGCACTGGAAAGTGGAACATGTAATTAATTTTGTCATCATTGCACTGCAGGTAGACTCCAGTTAGCTAAAATGTGCTGACTATAATTGCACCAAAATGTCTTCAAAAATTTTTGAGGTTATAAATAATTAAAATATCTATTGCTTCCCTTTTCTCCCTCCAAGCACTCCCACATACCCTTCCCACCTTCCTTCAAATTCATGGCATATCCTCCTTTTAAATGAATAATTAAATCATACATATAAACATACACACATACACATATTCCAAAACATGCCTTGGTCAGTCTATATGTTATTTGTATATGTATTTCCAGGGCTGCCAATTTGGCACTAGACAATCAATTGGTATGTTTGTCCCTGGGGAAGGCATCTCTCCCACTCCCAGCTTTCCTCAGTTGCCTATAGTTCTGTGAGTAGGGTTGGGGCCTCAAAGGTTTTTTCCCCTTGTGGTTCAGCACATTTGTTGGTTCCATTCTCATTCAGCTCATGTTTGGGCAATCATGTTGGTGTAACTTTAAGAGTGTACCTTCTGATGTCACTTGGAAACACAGTCTCACAGCAAGCTCCCTGGCCATCTGGCTCTTACAATCTTTCCACTTCATCTTTCACAATGTTCCTTGAGCTCTAGGTGCCAGAGTGTTTTTAGATGTGTCCACTGGGACTAGGTTCTACAATCCCACATTTTGTTTGGTTGTGTTTTTATTTGTAGTGGTCTCCACCTGTTGCAATGAAAAATTTCCTTGATGATGGGTGAAGACTATTCTTATCTGTGAGCAAAAACTCTCTAATTAGACTTAAGGACATACTCAACAAGAGGGAAATCACTCCTGGTACTTGAAACCCTGCTTACTACTCAATGTTAGTGAAGTCACATTTATTGGAGGAGAATCTATAACCACTAATTTAATAAACTATTATAATCCCTACAGGAATCTGTAAACATTGTCCTCATACCCAAAATGTCTTTTTAAATTTTTATTTTATTTTATTCTTTTATTTTTATTTATATTGGTAACTGAGGCTATTTTACTGTTACTGAAAAAAATTTAATCACAAACTTTTAAAAGGGAAGATTGTGCTATTTCTAGACATATGTGCATTTATAGCTTTCTTAGCAAATGTGTTAAACTTGTACTTTATAGTATTTTCATATCCAATGAGGACTTTATATGAAAGAGAGGAAATTAATTGTTCATTACGGTGAGTATATGGAGAATACTGAGAAAACTGTATAGACCTGGCCCCTCTCTTCTCCAGGTTTGGGAGCAAATACACTGGAACTATAATGGACATCTACTTGCCAAACATTTTCATGGAATGACTGTGAAAATGCTCTGCACCAAGGTAAAGTGCCCATAATATAATTAAATATAATTTAAATAAAGCCAGTTACAGAAAGGTGTACAAAATTAAGAGACAAGACAGAATATTAGAGTGACAACAATTTACTATATATGTATAGATAAATAGGTGAAATGGATTGATGATAGATTTTATATATATGATAGATGGATATATATATTTATATGGCTATATATACATATATATGCCAATAGATAGATAGATAGATAGATAGATAGATAGATAGATAGATAGATAGATAGGTGATAGACAGAAAAATAGACAGAAAGGTAGATAGATAGTAGATAGAACTGTTGTTGGTAGGGACCAAAGCCTGGACCTTATACTTTTTAGAAAAGGGCTGTACCACTAAGCTATATCTCTAACATTAAAGTTTATGCTTATTGTTCTACTAACTTTAAACAGTTAGTCTTCCAAACAACAATTTCAAGTATAATTATCCAAGCTTAAAGATGAGAAAATTCAAAGAGGGCAGCCAATATTTTAAGATGGCTCTATCACTAACAATGAAATTGTAAAATCAAGATCATATTTGAATGACATGATTAATATTAAAAGAATATTGTTAGAACATTAGATTTTTGAGGTATAATTTTAATAAGAAATTTTCTTTGTCATAAATGATAACATATCATATAAGGGATAAAAAAATGAATAAAATATATAAGCAAAATTTGAAAAATGTTTTGGAAAAGAAGTTAAAGTAGAGATAAGTGTTGGAAATATATTTATACACCAAGCCTTATAAATATGGACAAGGGGTCGATTCCTTTCCTCAATATTCATCTGTGAATTCAATCACTGTCTGTCCAGTTCCACCTTTTAACACAGTACTTCCTACCCAAACCATTGGAATCTATGTACTTTTTCATCTGGTATTAGAATTGATGAGATAAGCCCCTTCTCTATGGTTTTCTCTCACTAATATACAGAATAAATGACTGGAAATATCTAGTTCATAACTTGCATCACAAAAGAAGTCCACACCCACATTGGTTTCATATACGTCTCCATGTGGAACGAATTTTTTTTTTTTTTTATCACTCATCTCCCTTTCTGATTTGTCTAATTTTTCCCCAAGGTTCACTTGACACCATATATAAAAGTTCCTTTTATTTTTCAAACATTGATTTTCAATAATGTCCCTTAAACGTACATATTCTTGCTCCCTTCCATAACTTATTTTAGGAATATTGTGATCTTCTTCTAAGCTCATATAACAACACTCTGTGGATTTCCCTAAGGGCATCTTTGCCTGTTATGGTTATTGTTTATATTTAGAAATTGAGTAATCCTAAGAACTGGGTCAAGTTGACAAGGAGTGGGTGGACATTTGATTGCTTACTTTTGTTTGCCATCCTGACCAGATATGGAATTAACTATATTCAAGTTGCTTAGTACTCTGTGATTTTCATGGTCAAATTACTGGAAGTAGGAAGACCTATCCTAAACCTGGATGGACAACTGTTTTTAGAGGGAGCCCAAATACAAGAGAAGACACATATTTGCTTTTTGCCAGTTTGCCTTCAATCTCACTGACAAGTTCATCTACCCTGTTACTGCTCCTGCTGAATTCTCTTAATGATATTAGTACTCAGCTTAGGGTTCCAATGGGGTTGAAGACAAACTCCTCTCAGGGAATCCTTTTTGTCTTCAGTTACAGAATGAGACTAATGAGACATCAAGACACTTAGACTGAGAAACTACTGGACTCTTGACCTCTCCAATATAAGACAGCCTTTGTTTGACAACCCATATTGTAGTTTTGGAAGCCAATCTAATGGAGCTCTTTTAATAAGTATCCACTCTGTTGTGTTTTTTTTCCTGGAGAGAGTCAATACCAATACAGATTGTAGCAGATAAAAAGGAAGTAAAAAAATTAAACTTTCTTGCATGTCTATGCAATGTAACTAGACTCTGACTCCTGATATTTGTAAATAATCTATATCTGGGTATTAAGCTTTGTCTGAGAAACTTTCCTTCCAAGAAAAGGTGAATGATTTCAGAGAGTAACATGAAAGTAACACTGATTACTTAGGTAAAGGCTAGAAAATAAGGAAAATGATTTATTTCAGCAACCAACTTTATGGCTATTATTTTCCCAATGAAATCAGTTGGTGTTGATAGCCTGCCACTTTTCCTACTCTTTTAACTTGTCCATGAAGAAAAATAAAAGGGATAAATAATACAGTTCATTTTTTAATCTGATTGATTTTGTATCTTGATATTGAAATGAATTCTATTTTGCAAAACCCAAGAAAGGCAGACTCAGGCCTAATCGAGGTATTAAATATAATATACTTGTTATGAAGGAGTTAAAATTACTATTCACAGGTTACACTGTGTTTAAAAAAGTAAAAATACCAAACTGCTTCAGCAGTATGTTTTAAACACAGAAATATATTTTATTAAGGCCAATTAAACATAAAATAGATGATTATCACAAGGTAATCTTGTTTACAATACAACTAATTAAGCCACTTTCTCCTAGAAAATGTAGTTAGGAGACCTTAAAAATTAAAACAGCATTTGGTATTCTTTGCCTTGCTTATTTTTCTGTAGAGAGCCTATCAGTTAAAATGATGAATTTTAACCTTTTCCATTTCTCCCAGACAAGATATAATTCATATTCTTCAGGCTTGTTGCAGCTGGCTCCTCATACTGATGAAGAAATTATTGTTTTTATAATATTTACTAAGGCTGAGTTACTGAACTTTCTTCAAGGACATTTACTTTACTTTTAATTTGTAAAACTCTGAGAATCTTTTGGAAATAAATGGTGAGAAGAAAAATGCATTAAATTATACAGCTAATTGTGTAGTTTAATGAATTTGAATTAAGTCATAATATATTATATTCAATACAATGTATGTGATGAATAAAAAATAAAAAGGTCATGGTGTCTAAGAATAGTAGGATCGAGAACTAGAATGCTAATGGATCAAAAGTGTCCTGCATGAAAATGTCTTTTTGCTCTGTGTCCCAATTTTGTTCTTTTCAAAATGATTATTCTCAAAACTGTTCAATAAACTCAGTTTATTCAACTGATTTTTTGGTCTTCTGTGACTCCAAGAAAGCACTGCATTATGCTATATGTTGAAATCTGCTATTTTCAGAATAATTAGTTAAATAATGATGTTCTGAACATTAATTATCTGAAAATACACACAAAACTCTGTAATTAAGAACAACTTCTTGACTTTTTTACAGTGACAGGCATTGAAAGATACTTCTTAGAAAATGTTGACTCATCTGCCATAAAGTACTGCAGTGAGGTGGCTGTCCATGAACAGTAACCTACAAAGATATGTGTACACTTTGTATATTTGAAGTTAATATACATGATTTACAGTCTAAGGGGTTGAGGCAGACATATCATTGCTGTGTTTGAATGTGAAATGCCCCCTATATGCCTATGGGTTTGCATGGTTGGTCACCAGCTATTGGCACTGTCTATACAGCTAGTGGAAGCTTTAGGAGGTGAAGCCTTAAAGAGGAAGTGGATCACTATGGTGGCCTTTAAAGTTTTACACATTGTCCCCACTTTCTGTTTGTGCTTGCTTCTTGACTATACAGTAGTGTGACCAGCAGTCTCCGCTTCCTGTTGACATGCGCTTCCACTTTAGACTGGTTCTTCTCTAGTTCTCATCTAAATTCATCCCTTCTTCTTTCAAGACATTTTGTTGCAACATTGCAAACAGTAACAGGTAAGACCTTCAAAAGTCTTTGCCCTAGGATCTATGTGGATGGTATGTATATTAATTGGACCAAATTATGCTATTTGCATTATTTTTCTAAATCTCTTTACTACCTGATCATCATAAAAAGACTAAATGTTGTTTAAAATAAAATTATGAGTACAATTTTATGATGCAAATTTATAAATTGTGAAAATGAGTTGAGAAATTTCAAATTATTCCAACCTTAATATTAAATATTAACTACTTATGGTTGAGAGCAAGAAAAGAGCCACAATGGAAAAACAGCATCAAAGATATTTTTCTCTTTGCTATTGGCAAAATATGTTCATTAATTTTACAAATGAATATAAAATCTTCAATGAAATTTCCTTTCCTCATGTAAACAGTTACTTTCACAAGAAATATTTATAATAGCTTACATTTGAACCTCATTAAAGTTTGATCTCAACCTTTCTGTCGCAGATATTTCAGAGTTAGTGATTCAAGTGAAGGCCAATTTAAAACTCTAATAGTCTTCAGGAAGTGATTAATGGGCAAAGAGCATGTTTAGCTACAGCAGGTCAAACTTCTGCTCTTTACCCATGGCACTTAAGAATGTCTTTAATATACTAACATGCAAATGTCAGGTACAGGGGATTACCAAAACTTATCTTTGTCCAAATATTTGGTACCATAAGCAGTATAGCTCAGGGTTTGAACACTTTGGTTATCCCTGTAGTACCCCATGCTTACTTTCTTCACAATTCTACTGATGATATGAATAAAAATAGGAGAGATGTTGGAGCAAGGGCTCAATAGATGAAGTACTTGTTGTACGAGCGTGAGGACTTGAATTCAGATCCCCAGCATCCACTTGAAAAGTAAGTATGGTGGTGTGCATCTGAAAGCTCCACCTTGGGAAGGGGTAGGAAGGTGTGAAGACAGGTAGATCCCAGAGGCTCACTAATCAGTCTGTCCAATCATGGACCTCCATTTTAGTGAGAGATATTTCCAAAAAAGGAGTGGGATAGCAATAGACACACAAAGGATAGAGGAAGACACACAAAGTCAATCACTGTCATACAGCACACATAAATAATACCTACACAATTCTAACAGTAAGTTGGAAGTCTCTTATATTAACTATCTGTTACTGTCCTCTCTAAGGTAGTAGTGATGGTGTTGTAGAGAAAAAGAAGCAGTGGATAAATTCTGCCTTTCATTCAATTTATCTATCAGATACTGCTGGAAGTTTGTATATTATGTGTAATACTTTTCATCATTCCATTTCTATACCTTATTGGCTATTTTAGAATTTGTGAATAAATAGAAATATATCTGTGTCACATTAATTTCCAGCATGGAAGTTTGACTTGAACATTAGGTACTTATATTACTTTACTAATGTATACCTTGTATTTAGGGTTATTATCACAATTGTAAGTTAAATTAAATTAGAGGAGTGTTGTCACAGCGTTTCAAAAGAAGCATATGCACCTAATTCATCTAGACCTGCCTTTGCTTCTCTAGGGGTGAATATGATGAAGAATCAAAGGGAAAAATGTGGCCCGGTCAGATGATGTATACTGCAGTGTTTGCGCCTGCTTTTGTTGTTTCTTTGCTAAATTAATCAATGATTTATATTTAAAGTATCTATATCATTTATAGAATCAAAAATCCATAGTAATTTCAAGTTTTGAAAATTGATTAAATATTATTAATTCATTTATTTTCCACCCCAGTCAGAGTTTCCCTTCCCTCCTCTCCTCCCAGTCCCTCCCCTACCCCATGCCCTCTTCTCCTACCCCCCAAATCCACTCCTCCTCTGCTTTTGTTCAGGAAATGGTAGGTCTCCCATGGATATCAACAAAACATGGCATATCAAGTTGCAGTAAGACTAAGTTCCTCCCATTGAATTAAGGCTAGGCAAGGCAACCCAGTATGATGAGTAGTAGGGTCCCAAATGCCTGTAAAAGAGTCAGAGACAGCCTCTGCTCCCACTGTTAGGGGTTCCACACATGTCACATACATGCTGAGGACTTAGGGCAGTCCCATACAGGCTTGCTGGTTGTTGGTTCAGTTTCTGTGAATCTCTATGAGCCTGGGTTAGTTGATTCTGGTTTTTCTTTTTTTCCTTTTCTTTTTTTTTTTTCATAGTGTCCTTGACCCTTCTGGCTCCTACAATCCATTCTCCCCTCTTAGTCAGGATTCCCTGAGCTCCACCTAATGTTTGGCTGTGGGTCTGTATCTGTTTGCATCAGTTGCTCCATGAAGCCTCTCTGATGACAGTTGGGCTAGGCACCAATCTATGAGTATGGCAGAATATCATTAGGCATTTGCACTGACATTTTTTTCCCCTCAAGTAGAAACACTGGCATTCCTTAAACATACCTTATATTTTCCATTTTAGTTAACACGCCTTCAGTATGTCTTCTGTACCTGGTAAGATCACATCAGGGCTTTGATAATCATATTCTGAGATGATATCTCTTCACACACATCTCTTTTAAATCCGTCAAAAAACATCTCTACAAATTCTGTTGAGATCCTTTACAATTATAGATGAAATAGTTTTTCTTAGGCAAACTAGATGACATCTTTATAACTGTTTATGATACATATTTTATTTTATTTTTAAAATTCTTTTGCCTTTTATTGATTCTTTGTGAATTTCACATCATGTATCCCAATCCCACTTATTGTCCCATCCCCTCACAACCTCCTTCTGCCCTTACAATATTCCCCCAAAACGAAATAAAATTTAAGAAAAAATCCAAAGACCAAATGTAACAAACAAAAAAGAAGGAGGAGGAGGAAGAGCAAAGCAGCAGCAGCAGCAGCAGCAGCAGCAGCAGCAGCAGAAGAAGAAGAAGAAGAAGAAGAAGAAGAAGAAGAAGAAGAAGAAGAAGAAGAAGAAGAAGAAGAAGAAGAAGAAATGAAGAAACTCATCGTGGAAGCTGGGTGTGGCCCATTGAGTCACACAAGTTTCCCTTTAGTCCATTCATCTTTACTTACAAGTGTTAATTTCCAGGAGTCATTAGTCTGACTGGAGGCCTCTGGCTTCTGCTACACCGCCAAAAATGGTCTCTCACTGAGGCTCCTCTTGGATATGCTGTTATTGCCCTGTATTAATGGGGATCCTGCTGGTTTGGATCTGTAAGTTCACATGCTCCAGCAGTTCATAGATGATGTGGATGTTGGGGTGGGCTAACTCATAGCCCTGGTTCCAGGCCTGAGTGGTAGCTCGGTTGGTCAGACCACCAGCTTTCCCTCATCTTCACTACCTGGGCAAGCTTTCCAGCACTACCTTGGCTAGCTCACCTAATACAGTCCGCAGCAAGGAGCAAGGCTAGTTCTCCTCTCACGGCCTTATGTCCAGATTACCCACACTCATCACCAGGGCCTATTCTACTATTTTGCCTAGGCAAGGTACGGACGGGGTCCTCTCTCCTCTTTGCTGTAAGGGATATGTGGGGGTTTGGGGTGTGTGTGGGGTCAGCTCTCCTGCTCTCATCCCTTCAGGGCTGGCTCCTCTGCTCCCCTGGTAACAGGATCAGTTCTAGTGTGCTGCCCAGGCAGGGTCCTATCCTACCCCCACCCCCTATAACCCCTATAATCAGTTCTAGTGTGCTACCTAGGTGAGGTGCACACCAGTGGTAAGGGATGGGGCCATCTTTCCCAAGTACAGGACGCCGGTTATCCCCTGAAGGGAGGATCCAGATCTCCTGTTGCAGTATCCAGCAAGGGGCAGGACCAGCTATTCCAGGGTCAGTGAAGGGTGAGGCTGGTTCAGCATAGCACGGTTCCAATGGTGCTCTGTGCTACCATGAACTATGGACATCATTATAGATTCCAGCTGCAGCAGGACCAGAGACCCAGACAAGGCTCTCAGCAGAAGCTCAGGCCCAGATGTCTCCATGGCCCCACAAGCCCACTCAGATCAGCATGGCCCTGGTAGCTGCATGACCCTTGGACACCCTAATGGCCACAGGTTGTGTCTTAGACCTTGAGCATCTGTGTGATCTTTGGTGGCAACATGGGCCAGGGACATCAACACAGACCCTGGCTGTGGTAGGACCCCGGACCTAGATATAGTCCTCAGCAACATCCTGGGCCCAGATGTCACCACGACCCCCGGTGGCAGTGCAGTCTACTCAGACTGACATGGCTTCTATGGCTTTTGGATACCAACATGGCCCCAGGTGGCAGCCCAGACTCCAGGCCTCTGCATGGCCCTCAGTAGCAACAGAAGCTCCAGACATCAACACAGACCCTTTTGGCTGATGCAGGGCATCAGACCAATACCCAGCCCTGGCAATAGCCCAGGTCCAGACATCATTTTGGACTCAGGTGGCTAGCAGACCATTCATGTAGGCCTGTTCCTCATCACCCTCACCTCTTCTTTATGCTTCTCTTCCCAGCCCACGAAACCACTCTGCCACTTTCTCGCTTCCATTTCCCCACCTTGCTCACAATAATAGTGCTAGATGGCCTGGTGCCAGGAATCCTGGTTGAGTCACAGGTGGCACTTGTTTGAGCCCTGCATGCCCCAGCAGCAAGGCATGGCACAGAGCTATTGCTTTTCTTCTCTCGCATACCAGGGCCAAACCACAGGTGGCGCTTGGTGTGATGATGCCTGATTGCCTAGTGTGAGACAGGCTCTTGCTTTATTGTGTCCTGCCCAGACCAGGAGGTCTGTGGGGGTGGGGAGCATCTGTGTCCCTTGCTGGCTTAGGCCCAAATTTTATTTTTTTACACTACCTTTTTTAATGTCTTACATCACTTTTCTCCATCTACAAATATAAAGACTTGAAAGATAAAGGTAACAATTGCATTCCTTTGTATACCACAATATCTAGCAGATTGTGGTGCAAATAACATTAAATAAAAATTGGATTAATCTTCCTCAAGACCCAGCCATACCACTCTCGGGCATATACCCAAGGAATGCTCAATCACACCATAAGGACACATGCTGAACTATGTTCATAGCAGCATTATTCATAATAGCTAGAACCTGGAAACAACCTAGATGCCCCTCAACCAAAGAATGGATTAAGAAAATGTGGTACATTTACACAATGGAGTACTACTCAGCAGTGAAAAAAAATGATATCATGAAATTTGCAGGCAAAAGGATGGAACTAGAAAATATCATCCTGAGTGAGGTAACCCAGACTCAGAAGGACAAACATAGTATGTACTCACTCATAAGCGGATACTGGATATAAAGCAAAGGGTAATCAGACTACAGCCCACAGCTGCGGAGAAGCTAGCTAGCAAGGAGGACCCAAAGATGGATGCATGGGTTGCCCTGGGAAGGGGAAATAAATGAGATCTCTTGAGTAAACTGGGGATGAGAGGAGGCCATGGAGAGTAGGGGATGGGGGATAAGAACATAAGGGAATGGGATGGTTGAGCTGGAACAGGGATGGAGTGGGAGAGCAACGAAAGAGATATCATAATAGAGGGAGACATCACGGGTATAGGGAGAAACTGGGTTTCTAAGGGAGTTCCCATGAATCCACAAAGATAACCCCAGCTTAGACTACTAGCAATAGTGGAGAGGGTACTTGAACAGGTTTACTCCAGTCAGCAGATCAGTGAATACCCTGTCATCATAGAGCCTTTCTCCAGTAACTGATGGAAGCAGATGCAGAGATTCACAGCCAAGCAACAGACTGAGCTCCAGGAGTCCAGTCGAAGATAGAGAAGAGGGATTCTATGAGCAAGGGGCATCAAGATCATGATGGGGAATCCTATAGAGACAACCAAACCAAACTAGTGGGAACTCATGAAATTTAGATCAACAGCTATGGAGCCTGCATGGGACTGGACTAGGCCCTCTGCATAGCGAGACCATTGTGTAGCTTGATCTGCTTAAGGAGGCCCCTGGAAGTAGGGTCAGAATCCATCCTTGGTGCATGAGCAGGCTTTTTGAAGCCCACTACCTATGACAGGATACCTCACACAGCCTTGAGGCAGGGGGAGGGGCTTGGACCTGCCTCTACTAAATGTACCTCCCCATGGGAGGCCTTAACTTCTTGTAGGAGAGAGTAGGGTGTGGGTTGGGAGGGGGAGGATGGAAGGGCAGGAGGAGGGAAGAGGGGGATCTTTGATTGGTATGTAAAATGAATAAAATTTTTCTTAATAAAATAATTGGATTAAGTTGCCCTAGTCTTCTGTGAATATCTTGGCCAGTTTTATATATTTTTAGTTAAAGTGACTCTCCAGCTGTCTCAGTGCCTTTATTAATGAGATCTATGAAACTAGTCCAGGGAGCAGGGCTAGATCTAGTTTGCCACAAGTGAGCCAAAACTGGGCCAGTGAGAAAATGTTTAATAATTTGTGTAACCTTTTATCTTACAAATTGATAAAGATAAAAATGTCTATTTCATAATTCATGAATCTTCACAAAATGGCTGATATCAAATAAATAAAAATAGATCAATAATACATAAAATACATAGTAGAGTTATGAATTTAAGACAATCTCCTAAAAATAATATATTATATAATACTTCTTTTTTAAATTATATATTCCAGTATATAACTTCATATTCTAAATTTATTTATTTATTTTATTGTCTAATTTTAAGGGACTTCAACTTAAATTTCTTAAAATGTGCCATGGTAATCATTACCATAATTTGTATGAATAGCAAATAACAATGATGATACTGCAGTTCTTTCTAATGTAATAATTCATTATTTATGCTGTTTAAGTGTTATGCATGGCAGCTACCCTATCATCAGCAGTGGAACTAATTTAATGTACATGGAAGAACAGTTTAAATATTAAGCAATCAATCAATCATTCTCTCATCCTAGTTAATAAGACTTTTGTTTCATTTCTTCCCTATCTTCTGAAAAAATGAACACAGCCAAACTGAAGTTTTCTAAAAAATAAACTGTCTTTTGTATTCCATAATTTTTATGTGTATATAGGTTATAATTGCCAGACATAATTTTCAATCCATTAGTACAATTTCAAACTTATAAAGTTATTTTAAGTCTTAGTCTTTGGTCATAATCAACTGTTGCCATCAACAGTGCAGATATTTTAAACATGTTTTATAGATTGGCAGTTTTATTCCTGGACTAACAGAGGAGTATTTTTTTTCTTTGCAGACATTGAATATATATCTGTAATTTTATCTGCTTTTTGATTTATCATTATATTTATGTCAACAGTTTAATCCTTTAGGATAGTGTATTGCAAGCAACCACAATGAAATATGCACTTAATTCATATTTTCAACTAAATATTTGAGATATTTTTTATGCCTAAGGAGAATAATATTAGGGACTAATAATTGCTGTATCACAAGCAAATTTAGTAAAGAAAGAGTTAATTTACCAAATGTTATCATGTATTCTCTCTATATATTAATATTCTCTGTTTTAAGTAAATTTACTTGAATAACTTTATTTACTTTGCTGAAATTGCTTATCCCCAAATAATGGAACTCCTTAAGAAAGAAAAAGTGTCATAGAACATGAGAAAACATGTTGGTCAGAGAATTCTGGATTTGGACTTCAGAGGATGAACAAACAGTCAAATGGCTGCAGCAAAGTTCTAAGCTCATGTCAATAACTGTACAAAACACAACACGCCTAGCTAATTCCATTAATGAACTTTAATTAAGACATCTGAGGCAGCCTGCACTGCCCTCCTCCGATCCACTAATCATACACATGTAAACTGCACACTGGATATTTTGTACTTAGATTTAAAACTACAAGCCACTTTTCAAGTTAATGATAGGTAAGGTATAGGAAATGCTGAAAGCATAATTTAGGGCCCAGGAAAAAGACTCATAGCTTCTATGGAGAACACAAAAAAGTGAAGTTTGAGGACTGTTTTCCTTAGTAATGGTATTCACTGAAGTACTGCTGTCAACGAGTAAAGTTTTCTTTGTGTGTGTGTGTTGGTGACTGTGCGAAGTTCAGATGCCTAGGCATTTTGCAGAGAGGTTTCTGGCTCACATCCATGATGTTAATTATTGACCATACATATTAGGGAAAAAAAGTCTGTTCTGGATGCAGAATCACAGAAATGAAAAATAAAACTATATGTATTTACATATTTTTAAAAGTTATTACTGTGTGTGTGTGTGTGTGTGTGTGTGTGTGTGTGTGTGTGTGTGTGTGTGTGTGTGTGAATGTGTGCATGGGCTCCTACACCACAGCAAATTTCTGGAGATCACAGAACAACTTAATGGAGTCAGTTTTCTCCTTCCACAATTCCATGGTTATCATCGGTAAAAGTGAATGGAAAAGCTCTCACAGCAAGTCCTTTACTCACTGAGCCAACTTGCCAGTCCTGTATCTACATTTTATAATAAAGAAAGACTTATTTTTTGTGCAAGTGTTTGTGTGTGTGTGTGTGTGTGTGTGTGTGTGTGTGTGTGTGTGTGTGTGTGTATGTGTGTGTGTGTACAAAAAACAAAGATTACCAGGTACATACAGAATAGCAAAACACAAAGAAAAAAGAACAAATTGATAAATAATTCAGGAAGAACATAATAAAACATTCTAATAATAGCATATACTATTGAATTTCTTCACATTTTTAGGATATATATATATAATACATATATAATATTATATTATGTATGGAGAGAGAGCAAGCAAGAGAGCAAATGAGAGAACCAGATTTAGTTACAAAAAGGTAAAGATCAAAGAAATCAAGCAAAAAATCACTTTAGTTTAGATATAGAAAAATCAACAACTAAACTTTAGTGGAACCCAAACTCAACTCCTTGGTAAGATGGATATGATTCATTTCTGGCTATAATGGCCAAAGAACTGTTCTACAAATGTGATAAATTCGTAACTCAATCTAACTCACAACAAAAGTCCATGAGTTTATTCTCTTCTTGCAGTTTTAAATAAGAATATTTTAGAAGCTGTTGAATGTGAATTTGAATAAACTTGCTTAAAATGACACATCTTTGTAATAAACTACCCACTTAGAATTCTGGTAGTTCTGTGACTGAAGACAAAACCTACACATTGTACTTTGTGATATTGAAGATGAAGTTAAATGGATTTCCAGATATCTAGGGTAAATTATTATGCATTTAAGAAAGAAAGATGAAATAATCAAAAAAGAGAGGGTGGAAGGAAGGAGGAAGAGAGAGGAGGGATAAAGGAAGGAAAAGAGAACACAGAAAAGATAACAGTGAGTGTCATAGTTAATGTAATTGCAATATAAGAGGAGATTCATAAGGGAAAAATAAATGTGGATAGTGGTCTTTCTAATGAATGAAAACAGCGCAGAATTTTAAAAACACCCTTCTGTATAGTCAGAGCTAACCTTAAAACACACAAACCTTGAAGATTTCTTGAAGAAAACTGCAACAGCACTAGTTTTTTTTCTAGTATCACAAAATTTAGAATGACTGACCACATGTTACATCAAAAATGCCTTTATAGGCAAAACAATATATTTATTGATATGGAAAAAATATCAAATGCACTGATATGATTTTCAAAAATGACCACACCATGTTATACTTCTTCAAGTATGTATGACGTAAGTCCCAACGAAACTTTCCTCAAAATAGTAAGTGTAACAACCACTATGTCAGTATGTCCATATGTTTCTTCTGAGAAAGGGAGAAGCTCATTCCTGTAGGATGAACCCCAAGGAACACAAAGATGTTAATTTAGAACATTAAAAAAGGAGTGTCGTGTAGCAATATGAACAACATTAGAAGTTAAATGAATGTACATAGGCATCAATATTTACTGAAGTAATGAGGCCATGGCTTTGAATAAAAATTGGACAGACAATTCAAGAAACAGGTTTAATTAGTTAACTTAGCATAAAATTTCATATAGCAAAATTAAATCAAATTAATAAGAATTAAACAGATAATTTGACACAATGTCTTCAGTAATTTCATTTCTTTTCTTCAGAGCCAATTATACCAGTTCAATCCACAATAACTCATGAATTCAATAGGCAAAATCCGCACATAAGTTTTGTGATTTTAGAATATGTCTGTAAAATGTTAATGAGCTAGCTATAGTTACGGAGCTGAATTCAGCATAATAGATAATATACACATAACCAAATAACTTCATATTTCTCTGCCCAAAAATTGCTGACTATTATTTTTATTTAAATCAAAAGCTACTTTAAACTAGACTTCTGTATGTTTAAATATGTATATGATATTTCATTGATTTAATTTACTATTTTCTTGTATATTGAAATGTAGTTCCTAATTTTCTTGTATATTGAAATGTAGTTCCTAAAAATTATTATGTCTATTCTTTTTGTTATATATTCACAATGAGTATAACGTAAGTTTTCAACATCTTGATATTGAAACCTTTTAAAAGCATGGACTGGAAAGACCCAAATCTGTAGATAATTTAACTCTTGTGCATTTTCATTCATTTGTAATTGCTTTTGCTATAAATGAGAAGCTTTTTTCTTGTTCAATTTTTCCACTCATACTTTTCCTTCTTGCTCACTATTTCAATAGCCTAAAATAGATTAAAATGAAGAAACAAAGGCTATGCATAGGAGTGAGTTAGTAGAGAATATTCTGTTGGTTTACTTAGTAAATCATTATATGATCTTAATTATCATTAATTCTTTAAATTTAATGCAAGTATTCAAGTTGTGAAATTATCATTCTATTTAGGCAGACAGCTTTTAATTAATGTATTTTGACAAAGACTTACCTCAAGTTGAAGGACCGTTTGTAGGAGTGGATGTTTAAATGATAAAATAAGGTGAGTTATTTAAGGAATTAAAGGACAACGAAAGGGAAAAAAAGAGTACAGTTATTGCTATGGTCACCTAATATTACATTGACTTCAAAACCAATTTAAAACAAAATAATCTGACAATTGTGGCATTATTTGGCTGTTCTTCACTTCCAGTTTTGTTTGCAAATTTGCATTTATTCAACTGTCAGAAAAAGGCAGTCCTTCTTATCCACTCCTTAAAACCCTTGACATAACTAGGATTCTGTCAGATGAAATAAATGTAAGAAAACCCAGAGAACCCACACCTTCCTAATAGCT